TGTTGCTTGCGCTCCAGTGATCTCGTGCCCGGGTGCGCGCGTTCTACCCCTCCCCCTTCCCCCCGCCCGCCCGCCCGGGTCCGGCTGCAGAGGTGGGGGAGGACCGTGGTGCTTGTCCTGCGGGCTGCTCACAGGGCCACGGGCTGATGTTGTGTTGCATAAAGAAAGGGAAAAACCTCTTCACTCCTCTTGTGTCTGGGGCGCCAGATGTTTCATTGGAGCAACCTGTAGTGGGGCCGTATCGGTTAGAGCCCAGCTCCATCCCAGCCACATGGCTGGACCCACACGAGACTTTGCCCTAACATATCCCTCGCCTCTCGCACCCTTTCTGCTTACGACATCACTCTCCGACTCCCCTCTCCGTGCTGGCCTCCTCAACACACCTGTCCTCGCTGTGCTCGTCACTTCTGAGCTGCTTGGGGTTTTTTTTCTTTCTGCTTCTGCCTTCACTGTCTTCAGGGTGATGATTACCCATCCTGCCTGGTGAGCTCCCACGGGCTGGGATACCAGGGCGGGTGCAACCGGCACAGGGCTGTAGGGCTGCGCCTGCATCTGGGGAACTTGTAATTCCAAAAGGTCAAGGAGAGCCGCCACAGTCTCCTGACTAGGATCAGGTTCCTCCCAGGTGACACGGCCCACGGTCTGCCAGGAGTCCTCAACATCCAGATTTGCAGTCAGGCCGATGCGACCGTTGAGGCGCCTTAGAAGCTATAACAACCTCCTAGGGTCCTTGAGCTGCTGTGCACCATCGGCGAGTCTTTAGGCAGTGATCTGGCAGCGCCCATCTCTCCAGGTCTGGGTGTCCGCTGGCACGCAGGGAGCTCATCTGCCCTTTGACAGGTCTTGTTTTCAGTCCTGCTGGGTGTCCACACACCCTCCTCACCCAGCCTAGCACACGTGTGGGCGCCGATTTACTCATGGACAACCTGGCCCAGGAACAGGCTGTACTGGGTTACACCGTACCAGACAGCATACCCAGAGAGGCTTGGCCTGATGGGTATACTTATCTCTGCCTATCTCTATATACCTATCTATGTCTATAGCTAACTATCTTTATATGATATCTATACCTATTTCTCTCTCTCTCTTTGTCTATCTATGTATCTATATGTCTATCACTAGCTATCTCTCTATATATGATGTCTATATCTATCTGTCTATATCTCTATATATATCTATTTCTATCGCTATCTATATACGTCTATATCTATATCTATCACTATATCTACCTCTCTCTCTCTATATCTATCTATCTATCTATTACTATATATTATGTCTGTATCTCTCTTGCTATCTCTATACGTGTCTCTCCCTGTCTATCTCTACCTATCTCTCTATATATGTATCTCTCTGTATCTGTAGCTAACTATATCTATATATAATGTCTATATCTCTCTCCTCTCCGTGTCTCCCCGGGTGTGCTGATTTCTACAACACGAAGTCTCAGCCCTTTCGGGAAGCCCTCGCGGGTGGTGGAGGTGTGAAGCGGGGGCGCGGTCCCTTTAAGAGGCGGGACTTCCGGTACCGTGTCGCAGCGCGGAGGGGCGGAGCAGGAAGCGGCTGCGGATCGACCGAACTCGGAGGAGCCACGTCGGGCGGAGCCGGACCGCCCCTAGCGCCAGCGCCTCCCCCGCGGCGGAGCAGCGACTAGGCCCGGCCATGTCGGACCTGGGGGACTGGTTCCGGAGCATCCCGCTCATCACCCGCTACTGGTTCGCCGGCTCCATCGCGCTGCCGCTCGTGGGCAAGCTGGGCCTCATCAGCCCCGTGTACCTCTTCCTCTGGCCCGACGCCTTCCTCGGCCGCTTCCAGGTAGGGCCCACACTACATCTCCCGGCATGCCGCGCGGCCTTGGCGCGCTCGGCGGCTCGGCGGCGCCGTGCGGAGCCTGCTGGGGGCTGTAGTCCGGCGCGCGGTGGACGCTGGGGCGCCGCTTCTTGGCGCTGGGCTGCTTGGAGGGCTGCGGGCGCTGTGCCCTGCTCTGCTCCCCGCCCCCCGCTGTCTCGTGATGAGCCTTTGCGCCCCGTTTCAGTAGTCCTTGTCCCGAGCGCTCAGCAACGCAGAACTAGTGCCCCTGTATTAAAGGGGTCTTATAGCTTCCTTGGCAGACCTGGCCCAGGAGATCCCTCCCCATGTTAAAAGGGGCAGGAGCAGACGCTGACGGGGAGAGCGAGCACCCTCTGACCGGGGCTTTTCCTGCTGTACCCCTCTCTCGCGGCCTCCCACTTTAATGTTTAGGAAGTTCAGCTTCTGATGCCATCTTCCTCGCCCCCCCTGCTTGGTAGGTCCTCATGCCCCTTTCCTGCAAGCACTGGCCCACTCCCTGTTTGAACCCAGCTGCACTGTCCATGCCCACAGCATCTGGTGGCAGTGAGCTTCGTGCTTGAATGACATGCGCTGCGTGAAAAAACTTCCTGTGCTCAGCTTAATGCCTGCTACATACTCGTTTCATTTCGTGAAACGAGTAGGTAGCAAGTTGCATTTGGTGACCCTTAGTTCTCGTATTGAGAGAGGGAGGAAATCATATATCCCTGTTGACTTCCTCTGCGCCATGTCGGATTTTGTAGACCTGTAGTCCCTCCTCAAGCATTTCTTTTTTTTTCTAAATAAGTCTAGCCTCTTTAGCATCCTCATATGGAAACTCCTCCATACCACTAACTGTCCTTGTTGCTCAGCGGTTGTGCCTAAGGTGAGGTCAGACTTGAGACGTCCATGGAGAGACCAGGCTTCCTTTCCCCCCCCCCCCCCCCCCCTGCCATAAAGTGCTTTTCATAAGAGAGAAACGCAGTGCACTGAGCAGGAAGTTAATTCCCTTGCCAAGCGGATGCTGCATCCCAGAGAGCAGTGTTCAGACAACTCTTTGGGTCTGCGAGGCAACGTGTCAGCTCGGCAGTCTCGAAGACGTGTCTGATCCCTCTCTCTGCACTTGCACATTTATGCATTAGAGCAGGTACTTTATTATAATTTCCCTATACCTACTGGCTTAAAACTCTATCTGGACACTCCCAGGTATGCCTCATTTGTGCCTGTACAAGGTGGGGCTTGTTGCATGTTCCTCTCCAAAACGAGGATGACAAGGTTTAGTTTAGCCCTAATCGTTGCAAACTTTTAGCCAGACCTGGTGAGCTAGAACAGAATTAGAAAAGCTGAGGTTTATCAATTTTGGTAGAGGCTTTTGGTTGTAGCTGTGTTGGTCTATAACAACATAGGCAGGCCAGGTTCTTTGGGTAGATATGATAGCTTTTATTAGACCAACTGAGTAGCTGGAACAAAGTTCTTTGCAACTTGATAGGGTCTTGATATGTTTGTACTGTCTGTCTCTTTCCATATATTGATGCAAAACAGTTACTATTTTAAGAGTTGAAGTTTTATGCTTAGAACTGCTGACAATGAGCTCAGCCTCTGCTAACTGTTGTGATGCAGGAGGGTAGAGAGGTGTTACAAGATGCTGACTGCAGCTTTTCAGCCTATAGTAGGTTTGGGAAAGATGAGGGAGGACTCTGGGTAGGGCTAGCAGAGTTCATCTTCTGCTCCCTCTTGGTTGGCTTGTTGCCTTTTTGTTTGGAGTTTTGGGAAGGGTGCGTGGTGGGGGAGTCAAGGTGTTTAAATCATGGTCTGGTAGGAGCCCAGTGACCAACATCCCTAAGTTCTTGGAGCATGAGTTGCTGGCATGAGACTATCCAGGGTGCTCATTACATTTCTGGGTGAGGGATGGATGATGGAAGGCCTCTTGCAGCACAAAACAATTTGTTCATTCTCTGCCTAAACACAGGCAATAAGAAACCATGTTGCCCTTCCCATCTAAAACAGTTGGGAAGGAAAGAAAAGATCCCCATCCTGTAAGGTTGTCAGGGCTGCCCAACTTCAGGGGGGGCTGGAGCTGCATGCCACATCAGTTCTGAGCCTGGGGCTGCACACCATGTAGGCTGCATGGCAAAGGGGTTGCCATGTCCTGTGGACTCCTGGACCCCTGCTGTGTGTGTAGAGCCAAGCCCCCCCGCTTCTGTGCTCTGCACCTACATGGATGAGCTCCCAGCCCTACCTTGGTTGTTGCCACATGGGCAGTGCAAGCCCACCCTGCCACGCAAGCCCCAGGAGTGGCAGCTGGGGGGGAGCGCGCCG